TCCCAGCCAGCAAAAATGTGCCTGAAGAACAGATATTTTGAGGAACAGATCCATTGGGTGCCCCTGTAAACTGGTTCTCAGCAGACTAAGGAAACAATCATGGAAATGCCGGGAATTTCGTTATGACCGCAAACCTTTTACAAAGACCTACAAAGCTTGATGGAAGGTTGCAAGGTTAAAGGTTTGTTTGTATGTGAAAGTGCACTTAGCTTATAATAAAAACCCCAATTGTCAGGAGGAAATAAGTTGGCTATTTAACAAGCGTGGCAGAAGATTTAAACTCGCGACAACCGAGAACAAATTCAGCAAGTGGCCAGAACGGGATCGAACTCGAACACGAGATCGCCGGATTGCGAGTCTAACGCGCTGACTACTCGATCACGCTCCCTCCTCAAGTAAAAAGTAGGTGATGAAGTTTCCTATAATTAAAACGATACGTAAAATTTAGCTGGAAAGATTCAACTGGAAAGAAAGAGCTCAAAATGTGTTAGAATGCCGTGGCCAGCGAAGCTGTAGGGAGCCGGCTTAAGCAACGACGACGACGACGACGACAACAACGGAGACGGCGGCGGCGACGACGACGACGACGACGGCGGCGGCGGCCACGACGACAACAACGACGACGACGACAACGACGACGACGGCGGCGGCGGCGACGACGACGACGACAACAACGACGACGACGGCGGCGACGACGACGACGACGACAACAACGGCGACGACGGCGGCGACGACGACGACGACGACAACAACGGCGACGGCGGCGGCGACGACGACGACGACGACAACGACGACGACGGCGGCGGCGGCCACGACGACAACAACGACGACAACGGCGGCGACGACGACGACGACGACGACAACGACGACGACGGCGGCGGCGACGACGACGACGACAACAACGACGACGGCGGCGGCGACGACGACGACGACGACGGCGGCGACACAAACAACGTCTCTCAAAAAGTGAATTCACACTGTTGCAAAATTTGCGTTGAATGTTTCAAATGTTGGTAAATTTTTCTGGAGTTGAATTCTAAAGGATTGTATCTAAGTTTAAAACAAAAGAATCAGAAAATCGTTTTCTTGTGTTCACATCATCCAGAAAACGTGAAATAGGTAGTTTCACTGACGTCATAGTCGTGCAACTACGGCAAAGAAATGTACAAAAAAGCGTGCTGCAATGTGCAAAGTTGCTGTTTTGCTAATCATTAGTCTCGTTGCCGTCGATATCAAAGCTGCAAGCGCCGATCTTGCATCCATAAGTCCTAACAAACTTTAATTCAAAAGATCTGCCAGCTAAACCTCAGAATCAGACATTAGATCTGTGCTCCTAATAAAAACTAAACAAATTTAAATGAAGATATGATCGTCGCAGTGGTAATTGCAATTTAAGCTATTGTCAATTAACCCGGAAAAAAAATTCGGGACTTCAACGGGATTCGAACCCATGGCCGCTGAGTTAGCGCTGCAGTACTCTACCAACTGAGCTACAGAGACCTCACCCCACACATTGGGAGCGTGCCAATTTGTTGAGTTTGAAAGGAATGAAACATAGTTTGAAGATAATGTGAAATTTGGAAATATCTTCGTTCAAATTTGTGTTTTCGCAATGCACATCATCTTCAAAAACTAAACAGTACAATTACTACCGTCAGTGTTAACTATTAGAAAAAATACTTCTCATTTTTAAAAAGTGAACGAGATTTAGAATTTTTAGAGTGAGCAAAAATGTGTCCTAACAGAAGAATAAGTCGGGGCGATTTGAGCCAATAAAAAGAAGAGAAATATTTCAGTGGAATGAATGATAAATGGCAATAATTGAATGTAATGAAAGTGAGATTTCTTGGAAAATTGACAGCAACTCGATTTTGAAAGATAAGGTTGATCATGAGTCGACTTTGGTTAAACATTTGCAATGCAATTTTATTTTTCGAGCAATTCACTAATCCCCCGTCTACTTCCTTCTTTTCTCAATGCCCCCCCCCTCCCGCTCCCCCTTACTTCCTTCCTGTTTAAAGAGAAACGAATTCTTACCATAATCCAGCCAGTAGTGAACGTCAAACTTATCAAATATCATCAAAATAGTTTGCGCCATGGTCTTAAACTTTGCCGTTTCCCATCTGTTAAGTGGCAATTGTTATTGTAGCCGGCAACGACGGATGGCAGAATAAAGAAGTGAAACGCGGTGGCAACCAGCACAGTTATAAGCAGAAAGTTCAGAACTCGCTCGCAACCGTGCGGCTTGACATTATCACCTAATGAACAATAAAGAAACAATGATTATCAATTATTGGATAAGGCTGAGTATCATGGAGATCGAGGAGGGTATTTTCCCTGTCAAAAAACATTTTGAGACGCCACCACTTGTTTCTTTGCGAAAAGACGTCTAAAAGACGAGCGCAGTTCTAAATTCCATCTGGCTAATGCTTCTGATTGTTCGTGCCGTGTGGGAAATTTGCTTCAACCAATCAGAAGCACTACCCAGATCTGGGTAGCGACGTCCAATGGTTGATTCTCTGGGAGTTGCGCAAACCAGTTTCCATACCAAAGTGGTCAAATTTTTCTCATATGAACGCTCGCTAAAGTTGACTCGGCTGGGTTGTTGACCCTTTTTCACTCTTTAAACGAGGCCTTACGGTGTAATATAATCTTTTTTCAACTCACAGTTACCAAATTTGGATTCATTGGTAAAAGCCTATTGCAGTGGCGGTTCCAGGGGATCCAGCCCCCCCCCCCGCCTTATTTCTAGATCAAAATGAGGCCCGAAAGGCCGAAAAAAAATTTTTGAGACCGGGCCCCCTTCCCTTTATGTCAGGGTCTGGATACCCCCCTCCCCTTATATCGAGGTCTGGATCCCCCAATGCCTGTGACCAAATTTTTAGACGTTAATATAATGAACGGATTTACATGATTTTGTCATTTGTCCCAGGGGAGGGTCTCAAAGTAATAGAATCAGGGTTTAGTGGAGCGGCCTGCGAACAGCAGACGTATTTCCGGTCGTCGCTTCTCTCCCTCCCGACAACCGGAAATGCGTCTGCTGTTCGCAGGCTGTTAGTGGAATGGCCTTTTTCGTTTCGAACACTTATTTTCACTGCACGAAAAATTGGATTTACACAAATTTACTCGGTGCAAATATGGTGCAAAAAAGTGTTTTCCTTTTGGCGAACAATATGACATGAAACATTTTACAAATATTTATTTCTACTCTAAATTCCCAGGTGGGTAACCATCATAGACAATTGACATTGGTTTCATTCAGAGATTGTTGATGTTATCATTACTTACCTCGTCGAGCTTGTGACACGGATTTAATCAGAAAAAAACAAAGACGATGATGGAATTACTGAAAAGGAATCAGAAAATAACTTATTTAATTGTGAGTTCTTTTAAGGTATTAAAAGTCCTCCCCTAAACGCTAAGGCAGGCTTGTGTGATACTTGGCTACGGGGTTTAGGGGAATAAAACAAAAACAATGAATTATTCAATGCTGCGACACAAGGTTAATTCTTTTATTTAATTTTCCTAAGCCTTGGAGCCAAGTATGAATTTTAATATAAAATATTTCAAAATTGGTCTATAAATATTTTAATATATCAACAAGACACTATGTTTTCCTCTTATCCACGTTTTATTACTCATTTCATTCACTAGGCTAAAATAATAATAATAATAATAATAATAATAAAACTGCGGACCACTTCAAAAGGTATAATTGGCTCCAATAAACTAGGTTACAAAATCTGTACTTAATAGAAAAAAAGAAGTCAATTGCAACAATGACACAAAAAACTGAACTGAGTTCTTAATTCAGTTTATTCTCTTCTGGATCTTCAAACATAACTAAGGCCAATGAATAAAAAGGAAAAAGAACCAAAAAAAAAACTGCGGAAATGAAGATACTCTAATTCCAGATGACCCAAGTAGTCGAACTATATTTGAATTATCATATGCATTTTACTTTGAGTCGAACACAGCTGGCTTGTCTTAATATATATGTTAATGTGATGTTGATTCCTTACCTCACAGAGCCAGCTGTAAACATTTTCAAGTTAACGCACTTTATTAAAGGAAATTTAAATGCACCTTAATCTTTCTGCAAATTTAGTGGCAACGACTTAACGCAAAACGGAGAGGGTAACATTTCAAAATGAAGGACAATAGCGCGACGTTCACAAAGAAACAAAACTTGCCTGAACAACAGGAACGAAGTTAAATGATAATTCGGAATAGAAACTTTGTTTGTGATACTTTCCTTAAACGTGCGAAGGGGGTCAGGCGACAGAATCTGGCCACTTCACAGTTTCACTGACTCTGGTGGATCTCCACCGTGATAAAATACTCCTCTCTCTTAGCTGTCAAGAATGTCACAAATGTATCGATGATTTGGAGTCAAAACAATGGAAATTTAAGTTTCCGTTTTTGCAACAAAAAAAAAACGGATATGATAGATCCTGAACAAATGCAACACTGATCCGAGGTTTATTAATAATGATTATTTGGCATTCCTATTCATGACTCAGTCTTAAAGTACAGGATATATACACATTACCTTTTTATCAAAGAGTATTTCTTTCACATCTTTTTGCGAATATATTTTTTGCAGTGCCCATGTGGCGTACACGTTTTAGCCATCCCAAAGTATCGGTCACCCCAAAGTAGCGAGCCTCCGAAAATACTATAGCAGAAGGGTGCGAAAGCAAGGAGGGTCAATACTTTCAGAACACACGGTAGGTTACTAAAACATGGCCGGAAAAAAGCGCAAACGCACAAAAAGGACAAACTGCTACCACTAAAGAACAAAACGACCCGAACCTTATAGGGTTTTTATCCCCTTGTAAGATATGACGAAATAAACTGCATGTCATTGTAAGTAAAGAACGCAGCCATTTTTATTCATATTTCAGTGCCGCACGTCGGCAACTGTCAGTGAATGTCAAAGAAATTATAGGAAGACAGTTTATTATCCTTTAAACGACTAAGCCGAGATTGTCCAATCATTAAGCGCGGCAAGTATAATTTGAAACAATTGGGAATTCCTGTGTTGGCCTAAAGAACGAAGTAGATCTCCACCAATCCTCTAAGTCGTACTTTTGAAGAACCTCATACAAGTTCTTCCAGAATACTAACGCCATATCATCGACAGTTATGATTGGACCGGCAAACGCCCTGGCTTCCTTTCTACTTGGTCGACATTCTCCGATCCATGGCTTTTGAGGGCGGCAGCAGGCGTAGTGGAATGACTTCAAAGGCCTAAAGACGAATCGCCTAATATTAAAAGCGTAGGGAATTGCTTTCCAGCCACCGGGTGTATAAAAATCATTGAGCAAGACCTGATCATTTGGGCAGGTGTCTTTTTCTGTTGTTTCCCGCCACAGTTTCATGATTTCCTGGTACGTTTTCAAATCTGGCTTGATCACCAGAAGGCCTGCATTGAAACAAGGGTCCACAACACCAGGTCTGGAGCAAGGGACGGCGGCAAAATGTTCTGTGATTTGAAAAAGTTCATCAATATTGGTCATCAATATGTAATCGGCATCAACGTAAATGATTTTACTAAACTCTGTGTAGGTCCACGCGTGAAATCTTGTGTGTGTTCCCTTAATTCTTTTTCTAGGAGGTATTCCAAAAAGTCCGCTATTTCGATCTTCACCAACTTTAGCATCCATCCAGTTGCAATCCATTTCTTCGACCAAACGAGTTTCCCAACCGACGCTCTGAAGCGCGTTTTGTGTATCTTTACTCACATTTCCTGATATAAGCGCAATCATAGTCTTGTGACAAGAAAATGTCTGAATTGAGTCACCAAGGACCAAAGCGGGAACGACAAAGTCATCACTGACCATAACAGTTAGCCACGAAACATCCTTTCTTGACCTGTCTTCATTCTTGTTACACCGCTGTTGACCAAACTGTTTCTCCATTTCATACAATTTCCATTCCGTTTCTAAAAGCAGCAGTTCGTTGTCCAAACGCCTCTGATTATCAGCACTAATATGTAGAGCAAGCATCTTCACAACTTTGAGAGGAAACGGTACTAAAATGGGTCTCCAAACGGCAAAGAAAATGGCCATAATTATAATCGGAGAGAAAGACAGCGTACAAATAATCAGCTTTTGACATTCACGTTGTCTTGGTTCAGTTTCATTGGTCATTTTCGACACCGGCGCTCACCACTGAACTCGATCAGTGCTATAGCTTTCTAGTTCTCCTCAGACATTTCTTTTGTGGGAGGACAAAAATCGCTCGCGAGAGTGCCCGTCCTGGCTATGGCCAAAAAAAGGGACCTAGCCTTTTGTTTCGGAGTTACGTGACTTGACCGTAGGAGAGATAGACTCTGGGAAAAGGGGGGAGTCTCCGGAAAATAGGGGAGGGCTGAGTCCCAGGAATGCAGCCTGCCATCAGGTCTGGGATAAATTGGTTAGTTAAATTCATGACGAAAAAAATCGAATGCCACGTATTTTAGCTGACAAATTGCGAAGATGTCACAACTTTAAAGACATATTTTAGTATCACACGTAACCTGCGTTGCAGCTAGTCTGCTACACAGCCGTTTTTAGTGTCGTCACGCAACGTTCCTCCTCACTCATTGTGGGAAGGAGCATTGCGTGACGACACTAAAAACGGCTGTGTAGCAGACTACGTTGCAGCCGGCCTACGTACTTGTCTAAATCATTTGTATATGGTCCGTCTGCGAACTAGACTGCAAAACAGTCCGTATTTTTGCGTATTCGAGTAAGCGCGAGCAGTCAAACAAAAGGTTTGGAACGAGGCTGAAAACGGGCGTGTGAGGCTCGCGCGCTCTCGCGCGCGCAAGACTCGTACGCCACGCTTTACCGATTTCTTTACTGATTTTGAGAAAAAAAGACCGACTGTTTTGCAGTCTATCTGCGAACTAGTGAACAAAAGCTCGTTCTAATATCCTGCAGAGTCGCAAGGACATATGTGAGCGTTTCTGACACGCGGGTTTCTTACGGGTTTCTTATGAGCCTCACGATTGGCCTTATTTTTACGTGTGCGTGACGGTTGGGCGCAGTCACATGTCAAAATCCACAGATGGGAGTAGGCAAAGATCTCTTACCGTAAACAATGAAAGAGCCGTTCGAACTTTAAAGCTGTCTTCTGAACAAGAAAATGCTTTGAGATAACTCCTTCAAGGCCCAAATGTTCTTGTAAATTTGCCGGCTGGTTTAATTTCCAGCGTCTTTCAATCGCTGCAGATGCACTACCGCGTATTCTGCAATTTAGCCGACAGTTCTAGAGTCAAAACAAATCAGGAAATCATATATGATATTCACCACCAAAAAAACTAAACACATGTAGCTATTCAGGTCCAGGCATTTCGCTGAAAACCAAACTAGACTAAGGTTATTTAGCCGCAATAAAAAAGCTGAAGGCTTTAACAGAGGTAAAAGAAAATCATTTATGCTTCTGTGATCAAATCTCGTCAGAAAACATTTGCCGAAAAATAAACCACCGGAACTAATTACTCAACATGCATAGAACAGACTACCTTCATAACCTCTAAATGTAGCTAAATGTGAGACTCAAAGCGGCAACATTTGCTTAGTCAAATTGTAGAATACTCCATGCACTGTATACCCTGGGTACCAGAGGTCTTTCTCGCGTGCGGCGGGAATTTTCGGTGTTGGCCGAAGGCCGACACATCTTCGGCCGTAGGAGCGGGTCACTACTGAGACTCGACAGAAACTGGAAACCGCGCTAGAAAAGTCTCTGGCACCCAGGGTGCACTGTATAAATTACGCAAAAAGAGATCAAGAAAAACCTCCGTTGTTCAATCTACTCTACGGTCACGTTTCACACTATCACGAGCTCAATCTCTCTTGTCAGTAGCCTCTCACGCAGGCGTTTTTAGGGGATCTCGTTTTCCATCCCTCCCCACAAACGCCTGTTTGTGGGGAGGGATGAAAAACGAGCTCCCCTAAAAACGCCTGCGTTGGAGGCTATCTTGTCACTAGCTATGAGTCATGTTTGGCCCGTCAACACTTAATTCAAATCGGACTAATCACAAGCTGCGTAAGAAACTAACCAATCAAAAACGCCGACATATGTCCTTGTGGCTATGCGGGATTCGAACACGATATTGTGCACTAATTCGCAGACGCTCTATACAGAAGGTTTAGAGCGTCTGCGACGCGGGCAATATCACACGCTGCCAATTGTCAGCTGATTTATCAGTATGCTGTTTAATATACTCTGTAGGATTAAGCCGAGACTATTCGATTTTTGCTGCTGAGCGACCGTAGGGAACAAGCAGCAACATAATCAGGATTTAAGGGAAATATATAAGGTGGGACGAATTCTCGAATTCATCACTTTTAACAGAATGCATTGCATTTAACCACACTTTTTGCCACACTGGATTGCATTAAACCAGAGTGCACTGCGCTCCCTTACACCAGAATGTATTGGGCCACGAACAACTCAAATAAAAACACGAGGAAGTTCGGTGGGTGAGAACGTGCATCGTTCTCTGCTTTGTTTGTGGCAAATTGTCTACGGCACGGTTAGAAGTCTTATCAAATTTAAGACACGTAGGAGTCTTTCAGATGAGTACGATGGTTTACTTGGGGATTGGATTTCAATTCATGAGCCTTTGACTCGTCCGGACGTTTAAACTTGACGAGAAGATGAGCATTTGCTCTTCGACTCCGAAACACGGGGGATATACAAATTCCAGTATGCTAGAAGGTGATGTGAAAGTGAGAAAATGCCATGCTATGCTATTCTTAAGAACCCCTATGAGCCGAAAATGGATGCGATTTTGACCATTAGCTTCAAAATAACAGCGGAAATCGAGATAACAAAACATATGTTTTGCGTCCTACTTAACAGACGAGGACGTGTAACGGTGTTTTGAAAAGCATAATTATGCATGTTCTTTCATTCATTCATTGCCATGCGTTTACATTGTTTTTTTACTGTTAATAACTCGGTTAACGCGGCTAGCGATCATCTTGCGGGCGGAAGTTTCATGGAAAAGGCATTAAATTAAGGTTACGTAATCAGCCAGTCGCGTC